TATGATTGCTAAGAGTTAGTGTGTTCTCACAGAATTCCACCATGAGGCCCAGATGTTCTTTGAATTTCTTAGACTCTTCAGCACTGAAAGTACATGTAGGTGGTTTTAAGTTCAAACTGATAGTCCTGCTGTTTTCTTGCCCTTTTAGACAAGAGGTTCCAGTAGGCCAGGGGCTGTGTGAGAAGTGATGAATGTCACAAGGCTCCTGAAGGCTTCCTTTCAGGTTTTTAAATGATAGACATGCTTATAGGGTTGGTGCTTATTATTTTGAATCAGGGACTAATGCCTTATTCTTGCTATTTCTTTTGCAAAACTCAAACTTATTTTGAAATTGAAGGTCTTTCATTGTTTTTAAGACAATGGTGTGTCAACAAGGAATTGCATTTGGCTGTGAATAACAGAAGCCTGAAAAGAGACATAAACAAATACTAGAAGCTTTATTTCTCATGTTGCACAGAAATCTTAGGATGGCATCCAAGGCTTGGTGTGGTAGCTTCACAGTGCGACGAGGGGCCTAGGTTTCTTCCATCTGCCACCCTTAGCATGTGGTTTCCATCCTCACGGTCATCAGATGGCTGTAGAACTCTAGCCATCAGGTCGACACGGCAAGTGGAAAAGTAGAAGGGCCAAGAGCAAAATGTGCGTGCCAGTTAGCTGGGTCCCACCCAACAGCTTCCACTTATGTCTCATTGGCTGGGTTTCATTCCACGGTCATCTGGCAGGGGAGGTGGAAATATGGAAATACTGAGCCTAGTTCACTGCTGCTTCGGACAAAATTAGAGATCCATTAGTAAGGAAAAAGTGGGGAAAGGTGTCTAGTAGCCTATGTTCTATGTCTAAAGGAATGTTTCTACAAGAAACATTCTACTGGCTTACATTTTATGGGGAAATTCTATTAGAATTTCACATACATTTTTGATTAAGAAATCACACCACACTATAAAATCCCTATTAGGGTGTCCATAGCTGATCAACTATGGCTTCCAACTAAACTATACACTGAGCTCCTAATAATCCCACCTGAATGTCCCTTTGTCTGCCAGTTCCCCAGACCCAAAGCCATCATTTACTCTTTTTTTTACCCTTCATGCTTCACATTCAACTACTTACAAATTTTATTTGCCTAATATCCAGGTCATCTCTTAAATCTCTCTGTTCCTTTCCACCCCAACCATCAGCCCAGCTGAACATCCACTAAGTCAGGCTTACGCTTATGGTCTCTGCATAGGCAAAGATCATGAAGGCATTCAGTCTCAGGATTTCAATCCTGGGTTATGCACCAGCACCAGTTTGAGAGCTGATCTCCCTGATTCCATTTCCAAACCTGACGCTTCTTGTGTGTCTAGTCCTTACTCAGACACTGCCCTCTTCTTTCTGCAGGATGCAATCAAAATCTTTGTTTTTCATGTGTATTACAGCCTGTCTCCATCGTGATTGTGCAGTCTTAGCACCCTCTGGCCACTCGGAGTTAGGGCGAATTCTGGAAAAGTCCTTGTCCAGCCACTTCTGGCACTGTAATCTTGGGCAAGATCTCTGGCTACAGCTGCTGCATGGGCAGCAGTGATGGGTAGCAGGAATGCTTGAGTGGGTTTGTCAGAACTAGGAATAGAAAGAAAATTTGAAAGGGCCTCCAGTTTTAAGGAGGTACTTGACTATTTCTGGATCAATTCAAAGAGGCTTTAATGACTCTTAAGAGGATTAAACCAGACAACTTCAGTGAAACTTTTGTGCTTTTGTTCCCTAGGGTGGAAACCCTCAAAGAGGGTTATACACAAACAACACTTGCCGTCCAACAAGAGCTTGACAATGATCTGTCTGGGTCCCCAAATACAATTCAGCATCTCTTGAGAGCTTCAGATTCTATAAACACTTTCAAAATATTTCATTTAACCTTCACAATCATTGAAATGCTCGGACCCCCCCCCGCCCCACCATTTTAAGACTTCTCTAGCAGAACCTCAGCAGCTATCCAACAGCCATCCGAAAAGACGCAGCCTCCAGGCCTGTCCTCCTCCTACCAATCTCTTTTATACAGTTTCTAAAAGACATGTTGCCTGGAAGAGGGTCAGGTGGACATCGTAAGCCCTATCTGCAGTTGCAGAAATCGAGACTCAGGGCGGTGAAGAGACTTTTTCAGAATCATAGCAGTACATGGTCAAGTTAAAAAGCAAAGTCTGATCGTCTGACTTTTGTCCTATTGAGGAGGTGATGAGAGAAAAAGAAAATGAGGAGGAGGGGGAAAGGAAATCCATCTCACTCTCCTGCTACTCCAGCCCCCACCTCTGCTAAGACTTCCGAGCAGCAGGCAGAAGAGATCACTTGATTGCTGTGCCCTGTCGAAGTCTACCTACCACACACCAGAGAGGGTCAGACATCCCAGTCCGTGCTCCTGGGGGGTCCTCTCCCTCACCCTCATTGTACCATGTTATTTGGTAGCTTGTCTCCCGAATAGACTGTAAGTTCTTTGAGGCATAAACTGCAGCTTTGTCATTTCAGTATCCCCAGCACCTAGCACAACATCATAATGCATTGCAGACGCTCAGCAAAATACCGTTCCCCATGGAACTGAACAGTACCTTTCCAACAGAAGGGCCAGATCAGTTTACAGGCTATCCAGCTTCAGTGAATATTTGTGCCCAACCTGTATACATATAAAGTAGATAGACCCCACTGATCAGGGTTCTGAGTACCCTGTATGCAAGCCTTCTTCCATATGGATATACTTGCTTTTTATTTTCAAAAAATAAGTTATTGTACAATACACATATAACAAAGTGCACAACTCCATGAAATTTACATATGCTCTATACCCATGTAGCCACAGCCTAGAACAAGATGTGGGACATTTTCAGCACACTGAGCTTTTTCACACCCCTCCCCAATCAATACCATCTGCAAAAGTAACTACTCTGCCTTCTGTTACTTCTTCTGTGAAGGGAAATCTAAGTTGTTGAATTTTGAAGCCATTCTTAAATAGGCTCATGACCCGAAGATGACTGTTAGCAGCTCTCAGGACTGCATACCTTTCAGGTCCACACCCCAAAGAAGTGAGTGTCCTTGTCCTGGAATACCTGGGAAAATGTCATTGGCTCTAATTGGGTCTCTGCCCCTTCCTAAACCAATCACTTTGCCTAGGGAAATTTGATGGAGTAATTAGCCAAGGCCTAGCCAAGTTCTTGATTCCTGAGGGCCAGGGCAGATTCAGCCCCTCCATCCAATCCACAGATGGAAAACAGGGTTCGTGGTAGCTCCCAAACAGGGAGTCAGGGCGTGGGTACCATGAGGAAAGGGAACAGATGCTGCACAACCAGAACAAATGTTCACTTCCCTGGCCACACCAATCTCGGGTCTTCATCACCCAAGTTACTTGTAAGAGCATAGTTCTTGCTCTGGTCTTCCAAGGCTGTCTCAGGGGCCCTGCTTCTGGGACTGTGACCCCAGTCCCTTCACGCTGTCACACGCCATGCTCCCATCCTCTCCACGACACACGTGCAGCTCTTCCAACCCCTGCAAGTCCTCACCGAGGCACTCTCTTCTTCCTGCCGCTCTGAAGTCTACTTTGAGGCCAAGAAATTCTAGCCGTTTACTTTCTCTGTGTTCCTGGCCATTGGGGGGCACGTGACACAGCCGCTGCCGGTGAGATATAAACAGAAGTCTACGGGGGAGTTCTGAGTCTAGAATTTTGTTTGCTCCTTTCTTTCTTCCCTGAAACAGAGGTGTGATGTCAGGAGCCACCCTGACGCCATGAGCCCACACATTTGGAGAAAAATGAAATTGAATCAGAAATGGCTGCTTTTCTTATGCATATGCAAATAAATGGCTAAATACATATTTTCCTAGGGAATATAAATTGCCAAAATTGGTCAGGACAGAATGAAAATCTAAACAGACTGATTAACATAAAGCGATTAGAAAATGTTATCAATGAACAAATTCCCAAGTAACAACAGGCCTACCTAGTTTCTCAAATTCTGTAAAATTTTTAAGCAACTTCTAACTGCAATGCTATTTAAATTGTCTTAGAATGAAGAAAAAAGAATTAGTAGTATGAACTCATTTTATGAAACCAGTATATCAGTGATGTTAAAACCCAGCAAAAACAGCACCAAAAATGAGTCAAATCATAGCCCAATATTACCTCTGAATATTGATATATTAATTTAGGATAAAAGAAACAATTCTATTAAAGTCAAGATAGATAACAATATGTATTGCTAGCAATATTATTCCATAATGTATTGGAAACACTGTAGGTTCATGAAAATGTCAAAGGTAAAATTATTATTCTTTGAAGATAATATTGTTTTCCTGAAAAATTTAAGAGATTTGAGCCCTGGTTGGCATAGCTCAGTGGATTGAGTGCAGGCTGCGAACCAAAGTGTCACAGGTTCGATTCCCAGTCAGGGTACATACCTGAGTTGCAGGCCATGACCCCCAGCAACCGCACATTGATGTTTCTCTCTCTCTCTCTTTCTCCCTCCATTCCCTCTCTAAAAATAAATAAATAAAATCTTTTAAAAAATTTAAGAGATTCAACTAAAATTGATTGTAAGTAATAAAAATTTATTTAGGAAGCTTAATATGTAGAGATAACATGATTTTACTAATATATGGAATCTAATGAGCAAGCTGAACTAACAAGGAAAATGGGGACAGACTCATATAGAGAGCAGGGTGACAGCTGAGGGTGGGGAGATTAGGGGTGGAGGGATAGAGCAAAAAGGAAAAAGGACTCAGGGACATGGACAACAGTGTGGTGATTGCTGGGGGTATGGGGCATAAGGGGACTAAAGCCATCTGAAAAAAAGTAGAGTAGGAACCTGTATTAGTTATATATAGTCATGCTAACTGTTCTAACAAATAACCCCTGAGTTCTCAATGATTTAACACAATTAAGGTTGATTCTTGTGCATGTTAAATACAATTGGCTGTTACTGGTTGTACCATCTTTCTCATGGTCATTCATGAACGCTAACTCTATTCATCCTGACATTCTCTAGAGCCGTACTGTCCAATATGTTGGCCACTGTCCCCACATGGCGACTGAGCACTTGGAGTTTGGCCAGTGCAAAATAAGCTGAGCTGTAAGTATAAAATACACATCAGATTTCAAAGACATATCATGAAGAATGTAAAACATCTCATTAATACATTTTATAGTGTTAACTTGTTAAAGTGATAATGTTTTAGATATAGCAGGTTGAAGTTTATTATTACCATTAATTTCACACACACCCCCCTTTTTTTTTTTTTTTTGCTTTTTCTTAACATGGCTACTAGAATATTTCAAATGACACATATACGTGTCACTGTTATGGCTCACATTTATTTCTATCAGACAGCACTGCTCCAGATCCCAGAGTCTTCTCCCTGGTGAACAGACTGGCAGAGATTGGCCGGGAGGGTCACATTACCCTCCAGCACATTTCATGGGCCAGAACTCAGTCCTGTGTCCACACCTAACTGCCAGGGAAGACGGAAGTACAGTCTAGCTGTGTGTCCAAGAGGAGGGTGAAGTGGTTTTGGTTAGTAACTAACCAGTCTCTCCCACAAATTCCTAACTCACATCTTACACCAAAATTAATTATAGAAGAAAGAGTAAAATATTTTTCTTTAAAAAAGGAAGGAAGGACAGCAGGCAGAAGAAAACATGGGAGATATATTTTTAAATATTTAAAAAATAAAAAATAATTTTCAGAAATATCTTTGGAATTATTTTTAAAATCTCAAAATGAAGGTCTGTATAAATGACTCAAAATGTAGATGCTATTAAAAATGATAAGTTTAATTTTTAAAATTAAAAAATTCTTTCTGACAAAACACCATTACAGAGTAAGGACAAAGTCACATTGGATGTGGGAAATTTCTAGCACATCAGTACATTGACATCTCAACCAAAGTGTCAGTTTCCTGAAGTGTAGAGGACTCTTATAATTTTGAAAGAGCAAAACCATCCAATAGCATAATGACCAAAGGATATGGACAGTTCACAGAAAAGGAATAAAATGATTCTCAAAAGTATGAACAATTCTTGGCGAGGCTTATAATAAGAGCAATGCATTTTTAATTTGTCGATGGGCAAAGATATCAACGAGACATTGTTTTGCCAAGTGTGTGAGGTCACGCCGGTGGGGGTGCAAACGGCTGTAACTTCTGCAGAGGCTGTTTCAGCAGGACAATCTAACATCGCTTAACCCTCTGACCCCATAAGTCCAGTTCTAGGAATTCATGGACAGATGCACTTGTCCATGAATGAAGAGACAACATACAATGGCACAATGACCAGGGCAGAAGATCAGAAGGACCTAAATGTTCATCAGTGCAGAAGCAGCCAAGTACAAAGGACTGCTATGGAGCCATAACAAGAATGAGGCATAATGTACACAGTCGTGGAAGTCTAGACAAGATATACTCTTAGGCAGCAAAAACCATGTAGGAGAATAACATATACATAAAATGGAAGAGCAGAACAGAGATGGACCTCTGGGAGAGAAATGGGAATTTAGAAGGTAATTGAGGGTCTGGAGGAAAAAGATGTGAGAGCAACTTTCCTTTGATAGTACTTCCTCCTTTTAAATGTCCTGTTTGAATTTTGTACAGTATGCATGTATTGTCCCTTCAAAAAGTAAATAATGTATACTTTTAAATTTTTGGAGCAAATGTGTTGTTTGAGTTCCCTGAGAAGCAAACCCCATGACAAGTGTAGGCACGCAAGTGATTTACTGGGGGAAATGGGGAGGGAGCCCCAGGCAGGAGGGAGGGCCCTCAGGTGGTGCTGAAGTTCTGACCCCTGAGAAGAAGAGAGGGGCAAGGCCAATAGGAGTCCTTGAGCTAAAGCGGCCAGCCAGAAGAGTCCTGCCTCCAGCTGGGATGGGTGTGCCTCACTCTCTCTGCGGAGGTTAGCTGCAGCTGCAGGCAGGGCTGGAAAGTCAGCTTCCCGACTGGTAGGATTCAGAGCCCAGCAGCTGAGGCTTTTGATGAGCTTCACTCCCTGCCTCGGATCTCGTGTCCTGCAGCAACTGCAGAGTCTCTCCTGACCATCCCTTTACCAAAGTTTGCAAGGGCTTCTCTCACATGATGACTTACTCTGCTTTTATAGCTGTAGTGACTTGGACTTTTCTGGGTTTGAATACTTTTTTGAAGTTGTCCACTCATTCATCCAGTCAGTATTTATTAAATACTTAGTTATATCCTATGCATTTAGCTAAGTGCTGGAGACACAAAGGGGAGCAAAAAAGTCACGGGTCCCAGACTTATGGACCTTATGGACCTATGGCCTGCTGAGCAGGTGGACATGAATCAAAAGAGCGGACGGCATGTAGTTTCAGCCTCTGAGGGCGATGGAGAAAACTGTAGGGAGCCATGCGTGCCTCTAACACCAGGCTGGGAGTTGGAGGAGGCTCTCCCAAAGAAGGGGATGCTGGGAATATCCGCTCATTGAGACAACAGAGACAATAGAGAGTACAGAGGAGTTTGAAGAACAAAACTAAAATCACCTGTAATTCTAAAACCCAGGAATAACCTCAACTAGCAATTTTCTTCCTCTTCTTTTTTAAATACAATTGCCTAATACAGCACTGTCTAATAGAAATAGAATGTGAGTCACATCTGTAACTTTAAAATTTCTGGTAGCAACAGTTTAAAAAAGTAAAAAGAAACAGGTGAGATTAATTTTAATAATATAATTTATTTAACCAAATATGTCTAAAATATTATTCCACATGTAATCAATATGAAAATTAGTTTTTCTTAGTAAGTCTTTAAAATCTGATATGTATTTCACACTTATAGCATGTCTCATTTTGGGCTAGCCACGCATTTGAAGTGCTCAGTTGCCACATGCAGTTAGTGGCTGTCATATTAGTATGGGTTAAATACACATATAAAGGTACATATATGTATGTGTGTACATATATGTATGTGTATACATACATATGTATGTAACATCACATTTGAGATCTTAATACATATTCAGTTTTATATCTTATTTTTCAGTTAATATTATATCATATGCATTTTCCCATGATAATAAATATTTTTAAAGGTAATCTTTATGCATGGCAACTGTTCTACAGGTCCACCATTATTTATTGAACCATTTCCATGTTGTTAGATATTTAGGTTATGATTAATGTTTCAGCATCATAAATCATGCCGGCTATGATGAACGGAATAGTAAGCATGGCTCATCATTTGCATCACAGCTTGTGTCCTTGCAGTTTCGCTGGAGTTACTGAATCAAAGTGAATGGAGGTTTTAAGGCTCCTGAGACATTTTGTGAAATTGCTTTGAGAGAGGCCTCCCTGATCCTATTGCCAGCAGCCCTGGGGATGTGTGTCTCACTGTGACTCTGGCAACAATGACCATTGTAATTTCTTCTAAATTTGTTAATTTGATTTGCCAAATTTGGAATTTCCTTATTTTCACAAACAACTCTTTGAATTCCAGAGAGGCTGAACATTCTTTGTCATTCTCTTAATTAGCTAATTCACTTCCAGTTTTCAATTACTATTTTTTTTCTGTTAAAAGTAAATCTGTGGTACCTCTTACACTGAATGGGGTGGGATTAGCCCTGACGTTTGTGTTTATTTTTATAAGCTGACAGAGTTGACCGCAGATTCTATCAACTGTTGTTGAGACTATTTGGGCAACACGAGGAGACACACTGAGGCATGGCTGGCGCTTGCAGGAAGCTGAAGGCTGTGGAGGAGAAAGGCAGGCCCAGGCCAGGGTCCGGGGCCAGGCCCAGCCAGCCCACTGAAGGGCTGTGTGTGTGGAAGGTTCCCCGGAGGTTCACGGGGCCCTGAGAGCATGGAGCGGGGCTGCTTAACCGACTCTAGATGGACCAGGTTTCTGAAGTGAGACCTGGGACAGCCTTGGGGAGCACGCCGGATCTTGACAAGAGGAGTGGGATGGGAGGACACCCAGGCTGAAGGATGCGGGGGCAGTGGAGGTGTGGAAACAACCTTTGTCTTTCAGGAAGAACTGGGATGAGTCTAATGAAATGCCAGTGGTGGGAGGTGCATGGGAAGGGCTGCTGGGCTCCTGTTCCAGAAGAACTTAACTGTCCTGCTGAGGCTTTATTTTATAGATTGGAGGACTCGGTAGTGCTTTTAAGCAGGGTTTTGTTGTTTTTGCTTCCATAGGAGAAAAGAAAACCTGAATTTGTGGAGCTTTCCGAGGGGAAGGGCCTACAGAGAAGAAAGATGTCCTCAGATCCTCTGCATCCATTCCCCACGTCGGTGTACAGGGGGAGATGCAGAATGCAAATTATCCTGGAAGTGTAATCGACTAAGGTCCGCTTGGTAGAAATTAACTTGAAATCCTGTTTCTTTACAATATTGGTTTCAACTAATAATTTCCTGGGTCATAAATGAACATGGCCACTGAGACAATGGACCTTTCTGGTAGAGTCTGTCTCATGAATGACCAGATCTTCCCACCTCAGAAATACCTAGGGATGAAAGTGAGGTGACCTCAGCTCCCTCGTGTGCGTGCTCCTGGCTGGCTGCCCCTCACAGGCTCCCCACACCAGACACATCCAAGCACCACCCAGCTAGACTGGAGGGATGATCTCCCCTAAGTCAGCCTAGTGAGAAGACATCAGCTGTGGCTCCTCAGAAACACACCCAGTGGTTCCAGGTATGTGCCACAGAGTGGCCAAACACCCCAGAGAGTGTCACAACAGAAGTCTCCTTGTGGTGGCAGAGGCTTGCCTGTCAGGGCCACTACTCTGTCAAGTTCCAGCTCGAACCAGGTTTCTGCCAGGTCTCTCCTACTTTCCCTGTACTCTCTCACCCGCCCCCCATCTCCACCAGCTCCTCCACCATCCCCACCACCCCCTTCACATCCATTCCCTCCTTTCCACCCCCTCCACTACCACCCGCTGCTGCCCTCCCCCGCACACACACTACTCCGTCTACCCTAGGCTCTGGTCCTTTGGAGAAACGTGAATTTGGCCCCCTTCTAAAGAGGCTGACCACTGGTTACCTCTGATGGACTTCCTCTATCTTTGTTATTCCAAAGCCTGAGCCACAGGCTCTGAGCCCTACCCACCCACTGCTGGGGAAGTAAGAGGGAACAGGACATCTAGTTAGGTCTCTGCTCTGGGGAAGAGAAGCACCTAGCAGCAGGGAAAGCCCCCTTCCAGCACAGACAAGGAAGCCCATTTTTTTAGGGGAAGTGCTTTTCAGAAACCAGGAATTAATAAGATTAGAAAGGCATTCTACTTGTTAATTCAAGTGGAATACACAAAACCTACTCAGAGCACTGGATTTGACATTTTTGGTTGAGGCGGTTTTTGCAATCGCTAATGAACCGCTCCATCTGGTATCACAGCCCAGCCCAGTCCTCATGCAATTCGACCCCGTGGAGCTCCCTTTGGCTCCATAAACAGGGCGGGCCAGATGTGCAGCGCTGGCGGATTAGAAGCCCATTGGGCAGGCTTTCCCAAAGGGCTCAGGTGAGTTCCTGTTCCACCTGCCTTCTGTCCTTGAGTGCGGGGCAGGTGGGCAAGGAGGCAGGGGAGAAAGGTGGTCATCTCTTGGTTTCCTCTGACTCCCCATCTAGGATTGTCTGCACAGAAGCCAGCAGGAGGATTCTCACACGCACAGGTGCACACACACATGCACTCGCATCCCTCATCCCTGCCTGTCTTTTCAAATAGACCATGTGAGGGGCTGGGTGAGGGCTGGGGCACCTCTGGGGGAGAAGGTGAGACGACGGCCCACTCCCAGAGATCAACCCCAAATCTGTGGGTACTCGTCAGCAGAGAGGAGTGGGGCAAGACGAGATGGGAGGAGAAATACTTGCGTCATTGCTCTTGAAAAACACGACAGTTTGCGAAGGCTTTCTTTTCTGTTTAGAGTGAAAGACTGTTCTCCTGGCCACTCACAGAGCCTGGAGGTGGGCACAGCTAGGCCCTCTGACCTTGATTCCAGACAAAGTTTGTTTTGCCCTTTGCCCATCCCTGTACCCTTTCTGTTGGGAGGGTGTGGAAGCTGAGTGTAGGGAACATTAAATGTTAGGAAACCCAAGGAAAAGAACAAAAGAAACTGAAATGACAGACTGTCCTTCTGAGGCCTGCGGTCCAGGAATGATGAAGGGAGACTGCCACCTATGGGCCAGGTTCCAGGGGTGCCCGCAGGTGGGGTCCAGCCAGCCAGACACAGTAGTCTCCACGTTGGAGGAGTCTTTGTGGGACAGTCAGTCACCTACACACACACTCAATGCATTCATGACAAATGAGCCTTTTCCCATCTTACAGAACATTTTTCCCCCATTAGAGTGCAATCTTATGAGCCAAGTTCTGTGTACAAAGAAAGTAATATGACAGACACCTCTGGACCCGCCATCACATCAAACAGATGTTCACATCATCATCAGCTAGGTGCTCTAGCAGATGCCAGTCCCACATGACACCTGATCTATTATGGCTGCTTAGTAAAAATGAATCAGCGTAATGAGTCAGAGACAAACAACATTTGCTGTGCCACCCTAGTAGAAACGCAGTAGGATAAACAATGATCGGGCGAATATCAAACACGTTACAGTGAATGCCCATGAGTGGTGGGAGGGAGGGGAAATGAGAGTAGAATCAGGCACAAAGGGGAAAATACAATAAAGTAAAATAAACTAGAGAGGGGTCATGGGATAAGAACTGAAGAGGATAATGGAATCAACCCTGCTCCCAAAGTAAAAAAAAAAAACTCAAGGGACTTGAGCTTGAGCGAGAGGTTCTGTTGTGTTATAGGGGTTCCCACGTTGTCACACACTTGTCTTTTGCTGTTTGAGGTCCACACATTTGTGCAGAGCAAATTTGGTTATCCCCACTGCCTTCCATTATAAAATCAGATCTGCCACATGATAGCTACACAATATCGGATTCCAAGTGATAAAGCAGCCCTGATTCCTATTTCAGAGAAGCAGAGTGGCGTAGGTGTGTGTTTCTGTGTGTCCGAGTTTGTGCATGTGTATGTATGTGTGTGTGTATAAATGTGTGTGCTTGAGTACGTGTGTGTATATGTATGTAAAGATTATGGTTCTGTAACTCTAAGCCAGATGGAGTTTAAAGGCCTCCTGCCCGATAGTGCAGCCCCCAGAGGAAAGCTCAGCCCACCTAGGGCAGTAGCACCCCCTGAATGGACACAAGGACAGGCCCTGGGCATGGATCAGAGAGGCAGAGCTGGGCTGCAGAGTGTCTTACAGAAATCAGCTGATAAAACTTAGGGTACCAGCCTGTGCTTCCAGTGAGTGCCCAAGGAAGCACAGGAATGCACATATCTGGAGGAGGAAGGGATCTCTCAGCACACACCAGGCAGGGTGAGGGAGAATGACCTGGGACCTGCAGAAAGAGAGACAGCTGGGCCAGAACCATTCTCTTAGCCCTGTGGTGGAGGGTCATTATCATCAGTTCCTTAGCGATGAGGAGCTGGGCACTGAGAGCAGAGCACACCAAATGTCTAGGCTTCTTTGTACATAAGCACATTCCATGTTTTTCGGACTGTAAGATGCACTTTTCTACCACAGTTTTTGCTTCAAAAATTTTTTCCTATTTTCCTCCTCTAAAACCTAGGTGCATCTTATGGTGCGGACCCCAGACACACCTAGGTTTTAGAGGAGAAAAATAGGGGGAAAATTTTTGAAACAAAAAATGTGGTAAAAAAAATGCATCTTATAGTCCGAAAAATACAGTAAATGGTTTTGCGTTCTCATTAGTGGCTCAATCATTCTTAAAAAATTCTCATCATTTATGACTCATACATTCAAGGAACTCTCTAGCTGTTGTAGTATCAGGACATCTGGATCAGGAGACTCCTCTCTCTACACCTTGGAAGTGTGAATCATAACCAGGAAGATTTGGTGTCTTTAAAGTATTAGTAAATAATATGTACTATTGTTTCATTTATTTTAAATTTTATATATTGTAGATAACATATATACATATTTCCTTTGCAGCCTTTTAGCTTATCACTATGTGTTTTAGATTTATCCACGCAGACGATATAGATCCAGTTCACTCTTGTTAACGGCTATGCAGTGTTGCCTTGCATAAATAAGCCACATTTTTTTTTGCCCATTTTCCTCCTAAGTTCAGCTAGCTTGTTTCCATTTTTCAGCTGTTACAGGGAGTGTTGGAAAGAACATTCTTTCTGTGTCTCTCAGGAACTTCTAGACACATGAAGGAGAACTGTTGCTCATAGGTTGTGCAGTAACACTCCCAGGCATTGCTGAATGCTCCCTCGAGCGGTTGTGTGGGTTCACACCCCCCTGTGAAGCAGATGGCAGCAGATGGGAGTTTCCATTTCTCCGTTCCCACCAAACATTGGTATTGTCAGAGTTAATATTTCTACTTTGCTCTAGTAAGTGTGAAATAACGTCTTTGCATTTAATCTGTATTCTCTGACTATTTGTAAAGTCAGCCACATTTTCATGCATCCATGGACCATGGAAAGTCCTCTTCTGCTCATTGATTTTTCATACTCTTTGCTGTTTTGGTGTTTGGTTGTTTCCAATTTTTCTTGCTTATTTTTAGGAACTTATTGTGTATTTTGGATACTTTTCTTTGGTTGGAAATGTAGGTAGCAGATAATTTCTTCAAGCACGGGATTGTCTTTTTACTTTGTTAAGCGATGTTATTCATCATTGAGAAGTTTAAAAATTATGCAGTTTAATTTTTCGCTTTTCCTTGATAATTTTTTGCTTTGTGCCCTCAAAGATGTCATGTATATACTCCTATAGTCTGTCTAAATGCTTACAGTTTTCCACTAGCATGTTTGAAATGTATTTTTGTGCAAGCTATGAGGAATGAATCTAATGTTTCCCTTTGAAAATATTATTGACAAATAGCCACAGTGCCATTTATGAAGCAGTCACTTTTTCCTGTTGATTTGTAACCTTGCCTCTGTCATGTTCCACGTTTCTGTTTATAGGTTAGTGTTTTGAGGTTTTTCAGGAAATCTGTCTCATTGATCTATTTACCAAATGCCAATACCAGAGTATTTTAATTACTCTACCTTTGTGAAAAGGCTTGATACCTGTAACAGCCAATTCTTTTTCTGTTTCAAAATAGTTTTCAGCTATTTACTCTTCTGAATGGGTTTTGTGGTCTGTTTATCCAAGTCGGTGAAAAACTCCCCAGGGCTTTTTAATAGAATTTATTAAATGTGTAGTATAAATGTAGGAAAATTGCTGGTAGGCTATTGTCTTCCCACATATGAACATGTTATATCTCTTCATTTTTTTCAGGTTATCTTTTATGCCTTTCAATAAAGCTTTAGAGTTTTCTTTATAAAAATTTTTCACATCTTTTGTTAGATTTATTTCTAGGTACCATATAGTTTTTTTTTCATAGTGTAGTAAATGATGTATCTTTTTATTTCATCCTTACTTTTGACAGA